TGTGTGTGTGTGTGTGTGTGTGTGTGTGGTGTGTGTGTGTGTGTGTGTGTGTGTGTGCGTGCGTGTGCGTGTGCGTGTGCGTGTGCGTGTGCGTGTGCGTGTGCGTGTGCGTGTGCGTGTGCGTGTGCGTGTGCGTGTGCGTGTGGTGTGTGTGGTGTGTGTGTTGTGTGTATATATATATATATATATATATATATATTATATATATATATATATGTATATCTATATGTATATGTACATGTATGTATATATGTATATATGTATATATGTATATATGTATATATGTATATATGTATATATATATATATATTATAAACATTATATATATAGATATATATATATATATATATATATATATATATATATGTGTATATATGTATATATATATATATATATATATATATATATATATATATGTATGTATACATATGCATTCAATAAATACATATACATGTACATATACATATATATATATATATATATATATATATATATATATATATATATCATGCTCAAAATTCAATTTAGGCGCCGCCCGACAAGGTGAGGCACGTACCTACGCCCGCTATATTTAAAGGGAAAGCGAGATCATAGCTTTCCAAAGCACACTCGATCATCTCCCTAACCCATTCCGTTGTTTAGGGGTTTTAGGGGTCTATATTCTCATCTACTCTGTCACAGCTTAACTTAGCACCCTGGATCACCTCTGGAACACTTGCCGTTGTTTAGGGGTGTATTTAAGGGGTCTGTAGGGGGTCTATAAGGAGTATGAACATTTTCATACCATACGCAGTCTAATTAAGTAATTTTCTCTGTGAAAGGTTTCCGTAGCACCCTAAATAAACCTGCAACCATGTACTGTTGTTTCTATATCTAAGTAGTATTTTAGGGGGTTTTCACGTCCTGACCCCTTATAGGGACCCCTTATTGTAACCCCACATAGACCTTTCTTATGCACCCAAGTACTCCCCCCAACTCTTTGTGGTTGCTGAGAAAAAGTGAACTTAAGTAGGTCTCTGGTTATGGTTTATGGTTTTACTGTTAATCCCTTGTTTTCGGTTCAGTTGGATGAGGATTGATTGTGTGTTGTTGTTTTTTTCGGGGCAGGGGCCCTGGCCATGGCCCGAATACATACATACATATATATATATATATATATATATATATATAATATATATATATATATATATATATATATATATATATATATGTACACATGTATATATACACACATATATACATATACATATATATATATATATATATATATATATATATATATATATTATATATATACATATCTCCCTCTCTCCCTCTCTCCCTCCCTCCCCCTCTCCCTCGCCAACTCTTGTGCACACCACATCCCCAGAGTCCGGCCCCGCCCCTCGTCCCGCTCCTACCTTAGCGTCGACGACCTCGTGGGGGCAGGAGGCGGGCCCTTCTCCCATGGCCTCGATCATGTTGTAGATTTCTGGCTTCTCTTCGTCGGCGTGAATGAGGAAGGGGCTGGTGGAGGGTCTCTCTCCCCCTGCTGCACCCTCGCCGGCCTCTCCTCCCTCGCCTCCCTCGCCTCCTTTGCCTCCTTCGCCTCCTGCGCCTACTCCTGAGTCCTCTGTGGGGGTGAACTTGACTCGGATGGGCACCTGGATGCTCATTTCACCTGGCGGAGGAAAGGGGTCTTGTGGTTATTCTGTTTTGGCTCTCTCTCTTCTCTTCTCTTTTCTCTCTCCTCCCTTCTCTCTCTCCTCCCTCCCTCTCTCTCTCTTCCCTCCCTCTCTCTCTCTCTTTCTCTCTCTCCTCCCTCCTCTCTCTCTCTCCCTCCTCCCTCCTCTCTCTCTCCTCATCCCTCTCTCTCTCCTCCCTCTCTCTCTCCTCCCCCTCTCTCTTTTCCTCCCTTCTCTCTCCTCCCCCTCTGTCTCTCGTCCCCCATCTTTCTCTCCTCCCCCCTCTCTCTCATGTTCAACACAACCCACAATATCTGGAAACCATAAAATATCTACTTAACTCACATAATCCATTTCTACAGATTCTTTAACATCTGTAGGAAAAAAAATGAATTACGTTTGATCAACGACCCAAAAGGTAATCAAAATAAGAAACCTAATAAGAGTCATCATAATCCGTTCTCCCTCCCTCCCTCATCTACTCTTCCTCTATCCCTCTCTCTGCTCTTCATCCTTTCCGTCTCTCCGTTCTCTCCCCCCCCTCAGGTAAATCACTCCTCCTATCCTTCCTCCATCCATTTTTTTCTTTTTTTTCGCTTCCATTCCTCTTTCTTCTCTTTCTTTATTCCCGTTTTTTTTTTTTTTTTTCTTATCGCGAAAAAGAAACAAAACAATTCAAAAACTGTTGTGTTTATACAGCTGCAACAAATAAAGGCAAATGGCATCCTTTTCATTCTCTTTATTTCATCTTTGTGGAAGATTTCCAGACCTTGCGCATCTAATGCTGCTTTTGTTTGGAAAGACGCACTTGGCGCATCCTATTTTCGCTGGTGTTTGGAAAAAAAAAAAATCTTTCTTTCTTTCTTTCTTTCTTTCATTCTTTCATTTTTTAATTCTTTCATTCTTTCTTTCTCTCTCTCTCGCTCTCGCTCTCGCTCTCGCTCTCTCGCTCTCTCGCTCTCTCGCCTCTCGCCTCTCTCCTCTCACTCTCGCTCTCACTCTCTCGCTCTCGCTCTCTCGCTCTCTCGCTCTCTCGCTCTCTCGCTCTCTCGCTCTCGTCGCCTCTCGCCCTCTCGCTCTCTCGCCTCTCTCGCTCTCTCTCGCTCTCTCGCTCTTCTCGCCCTCAGCTCTCCTCGCCCTCTCGCCCTCTCGCCCTCTCGCTCTCTCGCCCTCTCGCTCTCTCGCCCTCTGGCTCTTTCGCCCTCTGGCTCTCTCGCCCTCTGGCTCTTTCGCCCTCTCGCTCTCTCGCCCTTTCGCTCTTCGCCCTCTCGCCCTCTTCGCCCTCTCGCTCTCTCGCCTTCGCTCTCTCGCCCTCTCGCTCCTCGCCCTCTGGCTCTCTCGCCTCTGGCTCTTTCGCCTCTCGCTCTCTCGCCCTTTCGCCTCTCGCCCTCTCGCTCTCCTCTCTCGCCCTCTCGCTCTCTCGCCTCTCGCTCTCGCCCCTTTCGCTCTCTCGCCCTCTCGCCCTCTGGCTCTCTCGCCCTCTGGCTCTTTCGCCCTCTCGCTCTCTCGCCCTTCTCGCTCTCTCGCTCTCTCGCCCCCTCGCTCTCTCGCCTTTCGCTTCGCCCTCTCGCCCTCTCGCTCTCTCGCCCTCTCGCTCCTCGCCTCTCGCTCTCTCGCCCTCTGGCTTCTTTCGCCCTCTGGCTCTCTCGCCCTCTCTTTCGCCCTCTGGCTCTCTCGCCCTCTGGCTCTTTCGCCCTCTTCGCTTCCTCGCCCCTTTCGCTCTCTCGCCCTCTCGCCCTCTCGCCCTCGCTCGCTCGCCCTCTCGCCTCTCTCGCCCTCTCGCTCCTCTCGCCCTCTCGCTCTCTCGCCCTTTCGCTCTCCTCTGCCCTCTCGCCCTCTCGCCCTCTCGCTCTCTCGCCCTCTCGCCCTCTCACTCTCTCGCCCTCTCGCTCTCTCGCCCTCTCGCTCTCTCGCCCTCTCGCTCTCCGCTCTCTCGCCCTCTCGCCTTTCCCTCTCGCCCTCTCGCTCTCGCCCTCGATCGCTCTCCTCGCCCTCTCGCTCTCTCGCGCCTCTTGGCTCTTCGCCCTCTCGCTCTCTCTCGCCCTCTCGCTCTTCGTTTTCTTTCACCGCGTCGCCTGTTCGCTCGATCTTTTTCTTCTTACTTATGTTTTTTCATACTTCATTTTCGCGCATGGTCACTGCTCTGTTTATTCATCTCTTCGTTGTCTTTCCCCTTCCGCAAAAGCTGTGTTGCTGTTAAAACTTCCTTCCTCACTACTGCTTGCCATATGCTAAATACGTGACTCACAGCCTACCCTTAGATCATAGTCCAGTATGACAGGCAGTCTTCGTGTAGGATGCCAGGGAGCAGCATCTCGTTCCCAGAAGCAGCAGCCTCACTCCAGCATTATTACTCTTTTAATAAGGGAATCAAAACATCTTGGTTCATTCACCTTATTCCTGTGGGGCCCACCTCTCGGACTCCTACACCGACCCGTCTCCTCCTGCCTCGTTCCCGCTTCCTTCCTCCCTCTCTCCCTTCCATTCGCTCCTTCAAACCCATCCTTCGCACCCTACAAGCCCTTTAACCCAACTTCTCACCCTCCTTACCTCGCTCCCTCCGTCCCTTCCTTCCTTCCTTCCTTCCCTTCCTTCCTTCCTTCCTTCCTTCCTTCCTTCTTCCTTCCTTCCTTCCTTCCTTCCTTCCTTCCTTCCTTCTTCCTTCCTTCCTTCTTCCCGCCCTCCATCAACCCATCCTCGCACCCTCTCTCTAACCCTTCCACTCCACCCTCCCTCCCTCCTCCTTCCCTCCCTTCCTTCCTCCCCTCAAACCCACCCACCCCCCCTCCCTCACTCCTTTTCCTTCGACCCATCCTCCCTCCCTCCCTCCCTCCCCTCCCTTCCTTCCTCCTTCAAACCCTCTCTCCCTCCTCCCTCCTCCTCCTTCAACCCACCCTCCCTCCCCCCCTCCCTCTTCAAACCCACCCTCCTCCTCCCTCCCTCCCTCCCTCCTTCAAACCACCCTCCCTCCTCCCTCCCTCCCTCCTCCCTCCCTCTCTCCCTCCCTCCCTCCCTCCCTCCTTCAAACCCACCCTCCTCCATCCCTCCCTCCTTCAAACCCACCCTCCTCCCTCCTTCCTCTCTCCTCCCTCCCTCCCTCCCTCCCTCTCAAACCCATCCTCCCTCCCTCCCTCCCTCCCTCGCCTCCTTCAAAACCCACCCTCCCTCCCTCCCTCCTCCCTCCTTCAAACCCACCCTCCCTCCCTCCCCCTCCCTCCTTCAAACCCTCCTCCCTCCTTTCCCTCTTTTTCTCAATCCTCTTTTTCTCAGAGCACCATCCAGAGACTTACCCAGCTGTTTGCCGCCGAAGATCATGTACTCAGCTTTCGTGTCGGT